GGGTGGATATAGCTCCCTAGCAGCCTCGCACCGATGACCTAGTTGATGTCATCATTTACCCAGAATGCTTTGCGTGTAAATAAAATGGCTCCGTCTGTGTTAAAATATATTTAAAAAAATTATAAAACTAAACATCCTCGTCTTTATTTTACAGTTGAAATATATGTTTATCAAATAAAGTTTAATGTTACAACTAATTGTGGATCCCTTTAAGGAGCATCATATTTGTGTTAATAGGCAGTGTTATAGTGAGCTGGCTGTGGTGACGTTCATCCAGTGATTATTTCTGCAAGTTTGATTAAAATTCTCCGGTTGGTTGTAAATTTTTTTTGCTAACGCACACAGGCTAAAACATTATTGCTTTTTTAAATTTGGTCAGACCTCCTCAAAGAAAAACCTCTTATTGTTTTACGAGCTCTTTCACTACATCATGTGTGTACGCATCGATATTAATAATTATTATTAAGGCTCCACATGTTCAAACTCCTCAGCTTTAAAAGCAGCAGTGTAAAGAGCAGTAGCTCCTTGGCTTAGCCAATAATAGCTCTCAGGCTTTGCTGGCGGGCCATCTTGGAAATGTTGCAAGCTACTCCTCGAGTGGCTCGGACACCTGAGACCACTGCTCTCTGATGGCAACATGTTGTTGATCAGAAACTGCTGCATGGAAAGTCTCTGTTGTGCAGCTTTCATCTGCTGGGAGCATTGGTGTAAAGCATGGAACTGCTGGTTTTACTGCAGCAGGGTGACTGTCTGTCTGCAGTGATCCTGACGTGGAAAGTACATTTGGAAGACAGTCAAACAGGAACATTTGAACAAAAGGTGTTTGATGATATTTTTGCCTCATCATGACTTGAGCTTGTAGTTTATTCTTACTTGTGTATTCTCTCTTCCTGTATGTTTTTGTACCTCTGCAGACTTGGTGCTGTTTTACCTGTTGTTCATTAGGGTTGTAAGAAAATATCAATACACTGAAATATTGCGATATTTCATTTCCCGATACTGTGTCAATATTCTAAAGTCCTGTATCGATATTTAATTAAGGTTTAAAATGTCAACTTTCCTGCCAGCCATTCATTTTTATGTTGTAGTTCAGCCTCTGACCACTAGTTGGCAGCAGTGAACCAGACATTTGGCTCCTCTACCTCTTGAGCACCAGAGAGTAAGGGTAGCATTAGCATTGTGAGTAAACATTAGCTTCATGCTTTGATAGCTGAATCTGAGCAGAAAAGACCGACACCCTCTGTCTTCTAAGCTGAGGGAAGGTTACGAACCGATACTTATTTGTCAGAATGTCTGTATTTTAAACCAAATTAAGTGTCTCGTGCGCTCTTTTTTCCAACTTCAGTCAGCCTTCACGTTACAGCAGGCTAGCGCATGTCTATGTAATTGAATTTTCTGAGACAATGAATTTTGGTTTTTCATTTTTTTTTTCCAGTAAGAGGTTTTTATTTAATAGAACTTTTGGACCCAAAAAAAATCGCAATATATCGCCTTGCTTACAGTATCGCAATATATCGCCTTGCTTACAGTATCGCAATATATCGCCTTGCTTACAGTATCGCAATATATCGGGATATATCATATCGTGACCCGTCTGTCATATGTATCGTATCGCCAAATTCTTGCCAACACACTGCCCTATTGTTCATAAAGCTGAATATTTAGCTCATTAATGAGATGGTGCTTTTTAAAACATAACTTTTACAAATATTTGGAGAAACATGGACATACCTTAATTAAAAACAAACAATGGGCCTCATGCAAGAACATGTTCGTATTCTTATCCTAAAGTTCTCTTACTTTTGTTCATACGAAGGGTTCGTACGAACATGTCACGTCAGATTCAACAAACTCTTCTGTCTTCAGGAAAAGTGTGTAAAAGAGCTGCGTAAACTGATGAATGTGTATCAGCTGCACGAGGAGAGGAGATTAGCATAATTACCACCCCAAAAACACCATATAAGGCTATGTTTCCTGCCACATATCAGGAAGTCCATTCATAAATGACATCGCAAAGTAAAAAGAATAACTTTACGAGTTCAGAGATTGAAGTCCTGCTCTCAGAGATCCAGAAAAGGAAATCTGTCATTTTTAGCAGCGTCAGCTGTGGAATTAAAGGAGCTGCTAAA